TGAACACCCATACACTCAATCGTAGTTAAGTAAAATAATAAATTACTAGGAGTAAATACTGAGGTTCAATAGGCCTAGGTCTTGAATGGTAATCTAGCCGGATTGAATTGAAGCATATGCTGGAAAACTCGGCTGGAGGTCCTTTGATATACGGAAAGTGGTTGCATAAAAACAGGTTCAAAATGAGGACAAATGCATTATAATATTGAATACCAAAATCCGAGTACTAGCCAAAAGTAAGCTAAAAACTGGAAAACTTCTAAGATATTTACAACAGTGGGACAAAATAAAAATGTATTCCTTTAAAAATCAATTTCAACAAGCCAAATTAGATAATTGCAATTCGGTTGGGGTTGAAAGACCTTTTAGAATGTACCCAGTCTTGCATCCTCTGCCATAAATCATATAATTTCCAACATCGGACCGTTTGTTTAGTACATCGCCAGACATTTTGTCGGCATTGACAATAAGAAGCGCTATCCTTATCACAGAAACAAAACTGGTCAATAAGGGCAATTCTTTTGACCAGTTTTCTGTCCAACCGATGAAGCCCCTCTCCTCCTACACCCTAGAAAGTCTCCTTGCCAATTCGACCAAGTCAAGTCATGCCAAACCTTTAGAGCTAAGGGGATACTGCGACGAAACCAAAGGCCAAACTATACTATATTAGAAGTTGTTTGATCACACAATCTTGCGGTTATACTTGTTTTGCTTAGGTTTAATGTAGAAAAGGACATTTGTGGGTTGGCACACGAGAGACTAGAGCATAAGAAGTCATAGACTTGGGAATATGGATAGAAGCATGATAGATGTGACAGAGACTAGAGCTAGTTGGCTAGCAGTAGACGTGCTTGATCACAGACGTGGTCCATGAACAAAAGGTTTAACCATGATAATTACTCGAGATCTTTGGCCACGAGTTAGCGTCCCATCCAGCTGATTTTTAGAGGCCTACTCAGCGATGCGGGAGCATATGTGCCATCAAAGGCTTGAGAAAGTGCGGGAAATAACGCTTCTAGTAGAGATGTGGTGGCAAGGATCGAGTGAAATACCTGAACCAGGAAGATAGGAAGCGGATCCTACGAAGCAATAGCGAGACTGATAAGACCTATGGAAAGAGGATTGCGGAATAGTATGGCAGACTGATTTACATTCACAGCATAAGGGTGAACGGGGTGGGGAGTCAGAAAGCCAACGTGGGGTGTGTAGAGTTCTCATGAAATCCGCTCAAAAAGACACACCATACCACATTTAAATTAGTAATTAAGAAATAGTGATAGTAAAGGAGTAATATGAGGATATAGGATTGATGAATAACCCAGGGCAGGAAAGATATCACAATTATTTAGCAGACAAGTGGTCAAAGGATCAGATTGACTTGTCTCTTTGACGAGTTGTCATGTGTTGCTAGGATTGGCAAGGCCCATTGACGATGCCAGCGAAACGTCTGCGAATGTACCACGTCCACGATCCGACTTTGGAAATTTTAATGCACACTAGTGAATCAGAATTAGGTGCGTTCCTCTAGGTCTTCCTAACAATATGAAAAAGTTGCAAAAACAAGGTCAAATAACTTCTATAAACGAAGGCAGACTGTGACCATACAAAGTCCACACCATCTTGGTCTTAATATCCTCGAGTATACTATACTCGTTTTATTTTCAGTGACAAGTATAATTGAAAAATTTACGAGATAAAAACTTGGGTTATTTCTTAAGGCTTAGAGGACATGAATGATGAAGGCAGTTGATGATAAAGTCTGGCCAAAATTCCTAACTATTATACGATTATTTTGGATCCTCTCAATCTTCTATTATAGGTAAACTCCTTTTGTCGTCTCTCTTAAATAGACTTATTCAAAATTAAACGACTCTATAAACGATTACTTTATCATGTATTGCCCCCAAGCCCGAAAATGACTTTAGCATTACACGAACAGCTCAAGTCCTTTTTAGACCCATGCGCCGAGTATTCTTCATAATAGAACAGGATTATAGCTTTCAGATGTAGGCTGCCCGAGCTAGACATATTAATCCTGCAGGGTTCATTAACCAGGAAGCTGATAACGTTACTGATTAAGATGTTTGATATCCAAGGCTCAAATAACAAATGCAACGATTAAATCATCCAAATAGCACGTCTTGCTTCTGTGAGAAGATGCAATAAAAGCATAGAGGGATTAGAAGAAAAGCGGATGATGATGCATGCATAGTAAAAGAAAAAAGGATTGGTGAGGAGACAATCAATAAGTGAATGTTGTGTGAATTGCCAACCGATTTAATCAAGCATCATACAATAGATTATTTCACAAGACTGCAAGTTTGTGATGCAAGAAAAGAGGCATAAAACCCCACATAATCATACAAGATGACGAGAAGACAGATAAGGATAAAAAATAATTGCACAATTTCCGATCCTTCCATTTCGTTTGAAAAGAAAACGCAAGGAATGCGTAAATTGGTCGCATCGCAAATTGAGGGAAGTTTACCTTTGAATTGTGACTGGAATTATGCCAAGCCTTTGTCACAAACTATTTCGGACGGGATGAATGATCTGAGTTTCGTCTATCATGTGACAGACATTGTGAGAATACAGAACAATAGTTTACAAAAAAACCACCAAGATTACCAGCTGCAATTCTTCTTACTTTATGTGAAATAGTTGTCCATTTAATGAGACATCTCAAGATTTGGTTGGCTATTTAATGCTCACCCTGGTGGTGCAGCTACGGTTGTCACGTGAAATGGACGCTTATGACATGTGAATGGGATACGGCTGTGTCCGAACAGCAGTCTCATCACCTAACTCACTTATATTTTTGATAATGCAATATTTACGTGCTTAATCGCATAGACAAAACATCAAGTAGGCAACTAGGTTATGAGAAGCCTCATTAAATAGACAGAGTCAGACTATAAGAAGTAGGAAGGATTGCAGCTGTTTAGCTTATTTGTCTTAGAGCCTGGAGAATTTTTCGAAAAGCACGGTTTCACGCTTTGACGATGCCTATCAGGAGAAAGGTCAGCACGAATTGATCCGGCTCGAATAACAGTATGACTAGAACTGCGCATTAAAATAGAGTTCTTCCTCCTCAGCCTCGGTTTCTGATAAGAGCAAATCACGAGTAATCTCCATACGCATTTTCAAGCTAAATGAAGCATAGCATAGATTGAAAGATGGAGTAAAAGATGAACAAAAATACTCTCGTTTATTTGGAAATACAAAGACCTAAGACAGGTTCGGAAGCTAGAACTAGATGATCCAGCATTTAGTTGGGTTAGCCTAAGTCAACTGGCAGGTTAACACTCTTGATATGTCAGCACCGAGAGTCAGTGACGATAGAAACTGGCATTTATCTACGAGCAACCGTATCGTTGACAAATATCCCATTAGCTACTGTTGGAGTACCTTTTATTTCGTTTGAAGAGGTGAGTGGAAAGGATCCTTACTGACTTTTCGTCCGTTATTTGACGGAATTCGTCAGAGCAGGAAACCATGCTTTACTATACTTCACAAAGCACGAAGACAAGAAAGGCGGATGGCAGTCACATGACGGACGAAAGCTCAGCAAGAATTCATCGGGGTCGCAAAACAGTAAGCCGATTATTTGTTCGCACATAAAGGGGGTTCCCCTTCGACTTCGGTGAGACTAGCATGCCCTCGCCTCTTAAAACGAAATTATAGGTACTCCAACATTAATCTGTTAAGGGATTCTTAGTAAAGCTGTTTTCCACATATTCCATTAGCTGTCCTCTACGTCAGCTCTTCCATTTAATTTTTCGTTTATAGGTAGAGTTTAGAGCTTCATCTACAATCGCACCACAGAATGTGATATGGCAAAATTCTTGACTTTCCTTATAATTCACATCTGCTCTCTGACCCAAAGGCGCTCGTGGCAGTGGTTTAATAGTTAACATGTCGAGATTACACACTGCACTATCACGGTTCGACTCCCGCTTGAAGTATTGATAAGACCTAGACGAGGTTGAAACTTCAGTCCACTTCAGCCTTAATGAGAATACTTTTTGGGAAAGCAAGGTTAGGTTAAATTCAATGGAAACGTCAGTTCTACTTAAATGATTGTGGGAAAATTCAACTACTGTTCCTTTATTACCAAAAAGGAAGTAGGAGGAATGCATTTCGCATTTAATATTCTTAAAGACCTTTGAGTCTCAGATAGTGAAGGTTTCTATGTGATTTTGCTAAAAGTAACTGGTGAATTATCCTAGAATGTAGTTATTATGAAAACTTTGAAGCATGGTAATCCACCAAACAAATGAAAAGACAATTATCCAATGGCATGAAAACAATAGCTGCATCCAACTAGATATGCTTACCTAAGTGTAAGATAGCGTAAATGAGATATAATAAGAAAAAATTGCGTTTAGATGCCGGCGAAAAAATACATTCAAATCATCAAAAAAATTTCGTCTAGCTTCTACCTTAATATTAAGCAAATTACTTCATACTCCAAGTAGTTATAATATAATAAATAACTTAATAGCTTCATATACCAAGTAGCTAAAATAGATAAGCTAGCATTCAATAAGCTAGTATATTGCAACAAAATAAAAAGTATACTTATTATGTCGTATTTAATGAAATAGTTTTGTTAACTATAGTCCAGAAAAAAGCGTTTAACCTATCGTTAATTGAAATTGATTAAGAACTCAAAAAGGAAAATGAGATGAAAATATAAATTTGCGTAGATGAGATGTATTCACCCTAATTCGTTTCAAGTTATAAGGGGACTTGTAACTAAATTTTCCCACAATGAAACGAATATACTTTACTTTTCCATCAAATTTCGCATAGCCTGGTTTTCCCAAAAAGTATTCTTATCTCGGCTGGAAAGGAATGCAGTTTAAAGCTCACCTGGATCTCATCAGCACCTCCAATAGAACTCGAACTATGAATGCGCAGTGTGTAATCTCAGCATCCTAACCACTAGACCACATTTTCTATAAGTAGGTTATCGAAATTACCAGTCGATCATATATATGAGATGTATTCATTCGATTTCGTTTAAGGTGATGATGGTTAACGCATCAAAATAATACGCTGCACTATCACGGTTCGAGTCCAGCTGGAAGTGTTGAGATCAATCATGCTGCATGATAATAGTTTTTGGAAAAGCAAAGCTATGTGAAATTCAATGGAGGCCTAAGGGCTACTCATATCATTATAAGAAAATTAAACTACCAGTTTCCTTATCACCTTAAATGAAATAGGATAAGTGCATCTGATATAAATGATCTATTCGTAGTCTCGAAAACCTACTTATAGGAAAATAAAGTTAAGTCACAAATGATAAACGGAAGAAAAATGATTTGAATTTAAAGCCATATTGAAGTTCGCTCATCATACATACAAAGAGGGCTTAATCGTCCGGGAGATTTCAGTTTCGATCACACGTAGGCTTATATTCCGTTTATAAGTAGGGTTTTGAGATTAACAGTAAGTCAGTTATAAGAGATATAATCTCGAAAATATACTTATAAACGAAAGATAAGGTGGTCGAACGCCATTGCTTCTTCGATAATCCCACCAAATAATGTGATATGGGAAAATGCCTGGCCTTCCTTGAAATTCATATCTGCTCTCTGACACAAGGGCACTCGTGGCAATGTGGCGTAGCGGTTAACGTATGGAGATTACATGCTGCACTGTCATGGTTCGACTACCTCTGGGGGTGTTGATAAGGCCTAGGCAAGATGGAGACTGCAGGCCATGGGAACCCCTTTTGGGAAAACAAGGCTATCTGAAAGTCTATGGAAACGTCAGATA